AAACAAAAAAAAAAAAAAAAAAAAAGACCTAAAATAGGAATAGTGTGACTGCTTAAGGGAGAAAAAAAAAAAAAAAAAAAAAAAAAAAATGTAATATATATAGTAAACTATAGAGATATTAGCAGATTATATTGTCAATTTATAAAAATAAAAGAGATAATATATTGGTATTTGATTAGAATCAGATAATATATAAGTGAAATAATAAAAAAAATATGATAAAAAGAGTATGATATAAAGTGTGATTATTAAGTATTATGTTAGAAAAAGAATATTTAAAATAATGTGTATTGATTAGTAATAAATTTATAAGTATATAGATAAATATAAAGTATAATAAATAAGTATAAATATAAAATAAAATTAGTTACAATAAATTTAGTTAATAAATAATAAAATTTATATTAAAAATATTTAAAATTTGATATTTTTAAGTATATTGAAATTAAAAATAGTTTATAATACTATAAGATAAAGATGTATAGTAATTTGTAATTAGTATAATACAATTATTTACTAATTAGTAAATAATTTATTTGTACTAAATTGATTGTAAAGCTTAGATTATTTAGGTAGTTTATAATTTGTATTATGTAAATTTAATTTAATCAGTTTAAAAAATAATATATTATTACACAAAAAATGTTCTAATGGGAATTTTGGAGTAAAATAAAAAGAAATAAAAAAGAAATAAAAATTTTATAACAAAATAAAGATAATAAAAGTTATTTTAAAATATAATTTGATCAATATTAAAGTTATAAGTAATTAAATTCATTTATAATATTAATTTTACTTTATTTTATATTTTTTTATTCTTTTAAAACTTAGAACTTGATTGACTAATTAATATATAAATATTTATATAATATTGAACATTTTTATCTGTTATCTATAAATGATGAACAAATCCAGATAAATCCCAAACCTTTAAAAAATAATTGCTAATTATAAAAAATTAAATCAAACGAATAATTCTAAAATTTTATAAATATATTCTTTATAGTTATAAGAATATACTTGCTTTATTTGAACAATAATTATTAATAAAATTTTTGAGTTATGAATTTGATCAGGCCCTTTGATTTTGTTCACTTTAAGCTTACTTAAAGTGAACAAAATCAAAGGGCCTGATCAAATTCATAACTCAAAAATTTTATTAATAATTATTGTTCAAATAAAGCAAGTATATTCTTATAACTATAAAGAATATATTTATAAAATTTTAGAATTATTCGTTTGATTTAATTTTTTATAATTAGCAATTATTTTTTAAAGGTTTGGGATTTATCTGGGTTTGTTTAGCATATATACCGGTTATCTGTTGACAGTGTTGTCATGGGACATAGACGCGGACAGCGGGCAGTCCGCCAATATTTTTTTGTTCCGAACAATTAAAATTATAAAAAGAACAATTGTGTTAGCTAATCAGGTTGTTCGATAAACCATATGACATGGCGATGGGACAACCATCACGGACATAGGACATTGTCCGGGACATGGGACACTGTCCGGAACATGGGACACTGTCCGGGACTGTCCGTGTCCGCACAATTATGATGGGACAATGTCCGCATACAACACTGTCTGTCGATGCCACTGGGGTACTTGTCCTATCTCGAAGCAATAGCAACCCATGAGGCGAGTTTGTTATCGGAAAAATATGAGTGCGTCCTCGATTGTGGTGCTTTTATATAACTTAGCCAAACCAACTTGATTCTTAAGCGTGCTATGGTTTTCAACAGATCGATTGCCTATCATAACAAATGCATGTGATTTTTGAATAACACGTGACCTATTATTAAAATTATTTGATATCTACGGGCTAGAAAATTAACTTTATAATGTAGATCTGAAAATCCAATTTGTGTTCCGCAAAAAAGGATCCGGTATTTTTAATGGGCATGAATGTAAAATTTTTGTGTCCCATGGCCAGTTTGGAAGTATGCTACTGGCCATGGAGTTTGTTCTCAGTGTGTTTTCCTTATTTGTAAAATTCTATATTCCATACCCATTAAAAATACGGATCCTTTCTGCGGAACACTAAGCCGATTGCTGATATTTGTGTACACAATAATGTTACACGTGATTCATGAGACCAAAAAGTTGCCTTCAGGTGAATAATTTGTTTAACACAAATGACTTTGTTCTAGTGATAAGTTTGATGTAAGTGGCGTAATTACGACAGGCGCCAAAAAATTTGATGTAATGCAGCATATAACATATATTTGGTAAATAAGAACCCTTACGCAGTAATTTTTAATACAGGCCCTTACACGTGCTTGATAACACTACATAAACTAATGACAATCTCTTTTAAATGACGGATCGGAATGACACAAAAATGTTAAACATTGTTTTGATACAATAAAAGCTAAAAATACCTTGACAATGCTCAGCATTGCGCATTTATTTTTTGTTCTGTATATTATGTTTATTATGACGGAGTTATTCATTTTTAAAGCTCCGCAATTATGGCTCATAAATGAAGTGAAATGGCTGTGTTCTGAATGACAAAGCTAACGCATCTCGGAATTATCATAAAACCTTTGTGCCACCATTTCTGCATGTCCTGATGTATTATAAAACAAAGTTATGTACTCTCCCCTAATTTTATAACTTTTCTGCGCAAACTACGACACGAAATTACAATTTATCAAGCCAATTTGTTCTTTCCTGCTTTTTTTAAATTATTTCAAGATAACTAAAAAAAATGCCTGGTGATTATTTTTTACCAAGCTATCTTCGTGATAGTCCTTTATACAAAAATAATAAAAGATTATATTCTCGGGTTCCTTTACCCACTCACTGGAATGTAGTAGATAGCTCACCCTCTATTACAATTGTTGATGACGAAAAATTAACAGTTAAATATAATGGTCCGGGTAGAAATTGGGTTGACGCTGCTTCAATCAGAGCAAATCACCCTATACATCCTGAGATTGGATTATATTATTATGAAATGACTATTATAGATCGCGGTGATCGAGGGTAAGGTTTTAATCCTTGATGTAAATAAATATTTTTTTTTTAATCTATTATCTATAATCCTCTATTGTATAAACAAATGTAAAGCAATTAAATTTTTTCATATATTTAGATGTATTGGAATTGGCCTAAGTAAGCCAGCTACTCGTCTCAATAGAATGCCAGGTTTGGTTAACATTATAAATTTGTTGCGATTTTTACTTTATAATTTATAAATAATGTTAAAAAACTTTTTTTTTTTAATGAATAGGATGGGAGCCAGATACAATAGGTTATCATGGAGATGATGGAAATTTATATTGTGAACGTGGAAGTGGTGTAAAATTCGGTCCACTTTATACCACGGGTGAAACTGTTGGATGTGGTATCAATTTTTTTGATAAATATGTTTTTTTCACAAAGAATGGAGTAATTCTAGGAATTGAATTACAATTGAGTTTTGAAGGTTATCCATTTGGTAAGTTGCATATTCTGGCTACTTATGATTAATAATTATACTAATGAGTTTATTATTCATGAAATTAGGTGCACCAACTAAAGATAAAATTATGGGTGAGATGTATCCAATGTGTGGAATGGAAAGTCCAAATGAAAGCGTAACTGTTAATTTTGGTGAAAAACCTTTTAAATTCAATATTGATTGCTACGCGAAGGTATGCGAGTTTGTGTCAGGTCAAAATATCAGACATTCTTATTGCATTTAGGCCTTTTAAATTAAAATGATATTGTTAAATTGTAGAAAATTTTTGAAAAAGCTGAAAAAAAAATAGAAGAAAAAAAGAAAGCAATCAAAGCAGCAGCAGAGTCTGCAGCTAATCCAATACAAGCCCGTGTAGAGGGCATAAACACATCAAACCCAATAGCTAGCCCTTCTTCTGGTGAAGAAATAATAGCTCATAATACAAATTCAGATGTTGCTCCTGATCCAGAGACAGCGCCAGTGATAAGTGCTATAGCTGAAACACAAATGAATGCTAATGATACGAACATTACTGACGCAATGACATCTGCATCGTCTGGTTTAGGAGACATAGTTAGTTCTAATGTTCCTGTTGATCCTACATACGCCACTACCACCTTATAATTATTCATCCACTTTATGTATTTATGGTCACCATTAAATGTGTGGCTTTATTATTAATACGCTATTGTAATATTTGATGTAATTATTTGTATCTAAGTTATTATAGACTATTCAATCAACTATATTTCGAGCTTAAGTGATTTTATATTTATTTCTTGTATGATAATAAACAAAAAATATTTTAATATATATATATACATTTAAAATAAATGTTATTTACGGCTAGTCAGAACTATCATTTTCGAATTTTCAATCGAAGCTATAATTAGGGTAATTTCACAAAATAAACACGAGGATACAACACACCTTCAAGTTATGCTGTTCTTTACGACAAAAGTTGGTCCCCATGCCCGAACGAATGTCCATCAAGTATTTGTTATGCTAGGTAATTGTGAAGATGCGATGATATTTTCAGTTCAATATTTGTATGGTTTTTCTGAATAATCATCAGAAATACTAGTTGTTTCTGTGGTTGTTGATAAGTATTCATTTGTGTAAAAAATTTCTTACAGGTAAAGTTATTATCTAATATACGGAATTATTCAGATTCATTATCTGATTTAAGCACTTTGGGAGGTATGCTTGAAGGTAATTATTCTGGATTATGATCCCAACATTGATTCATCTGATCTTTATAGCATTGTGGTGGATTTTTTGGTATTTCAGGCCGCAATCCATTTGAAATTCTCTTTGCAAGTTGAAATGAACTTTCTTTAGTTAATGGTAAAAATGATGAAAATATTAGATTTTCAGACGCCATTTGTGCCATTATGAAGTAATTATATACAATGTATAGGACATTCTATACAATTTAATTGTGACGGTAATGGTGATGGTGATGGTGGTTGTGATCGTGATTGTGATGATTTTTTTCTATTTTGTTTTTTTCTTACCCGACCACAATTATAGCCCACATATTCCCTTTTTCGAAAATTATATGTTTGTGCTTGTGATGACGATGATAAGTCCACACGTTTCCTTTTGCGAAGATTGTATCTTTGTGTTTGAGATGACGATGACAACGACGACATTGTTACCACCGTTGTTGTTGTTATATCTGGTGGTGGTGATTGTGGTTTTGTTGTTGATGTATCTGGTGGTGGTAATTGTAGATCTATATTGTCTTCAAAATTAGTTGATGATTCATTTGCTGTGGCAATAGGATAAACGTTTGAAGCATTACTATTGACATTATTACCTTCAAGATCATTATGGTAATTATTATCACCAAGTTCATTGTTACGATCATTATTACCACCAAGTTCATTGTTACGATCATTATTACCACCAAGATCATTATGGTAATTATTATCAACAAGTTCATTGTTACGATCATTATTACCACCAAGATCATTATGGTAATTATTATCACCAAGTTCATTGTTACGATCATTATTACCACCAAAATCATTATGGTAATTATTATCACCAAGTTCATTGTTACGATCATTATTACCACCAAGATCATTATGGTAATTATTATCACCAAGATCATTGTTACGATCATTACTACCACCAAGATTATTATGGTAATTATTATCACCAAGTTCATTGTTACGATCATTACTACCACCAAGATCATTATGGTAATTATTATCACCAAGAGCATTGTTACGATCATTACTACCACCAAGATTATTATTACCACCAAGATCATTATGGTAATTATTATCACCAAGATCATTGTTACGATCATTATTACCACTAAGATTATTATGGTAATTATTATCACCAAGATCATTGTTACGATCATTATTGTCACCAAGATCATTATAACTAGTGCTCCGATCGGGTTGACCCGAATGACCCGAAACCAACCCGGTTATAATGAATTTACTATATGGGTCATGACCCATCTAATAAATTTATTATAACCGGGTTGGTTTCGGGTCATTCGGGTCAACCCGATCAAAGCACTAGTTACAAACCAACTGAGCCTTTATGTTTTATAAGCGTTTTCCATTCATTTGAGCTCTTAAGAAGATCTTCTTCTTTCCTTTTTATTTTTTCTTCTATTTCAGATAGCATACGAATAACACGCTCTTTCTCTCGTTTGTATTCTAAGATGTCATATTTCTAGTTTCGGAAGAATAAGCAAAAATAGTATTAAAGCTTATATATTATATAAATTCAAAATAAGTGTGATTTTACTTACTATGTTACATTCATAAATAACTTTATTCCAATAATTCTCTAAATTTTTTGCATGCCGTTCTTGATCTGAACTGGCCTATTATAAAAAAATATTTGTTAATAGTGTGTAATTTTTATTTGGTGATAAAGAAAGATACATAGCTGGTTCCTCGTTTAGAATCAGCTGTCTTTACTAACAACAAAGAGCAAAGAATCAACAAAGTTAGAGTGCCCGAATAGAGAACTATGGAGTGGTTACCAAGCGGTCATACCCGGTAATTCTTCTGCGAAAACTCTCGCTCTCTTAGAAGTTACTCTAACTTTGCAAAATAAAAACAACACACCTTATCTCTTAAATTTTTAAAATCTTCTGGGTTTAATAATGTTTGAGCTTCATTTATGAAACGGGTATTCCATGAATTGTTAAGATCTCTCCAGTTTGAAGTAACCGAAGTAGTATCAATGATCATGTCTCGACAATTAACTAAAAAACTCAGAAGAGATTTAATTTTGTATTGCTTTAAATAATCATGAAGTCTTTTAAATCCAGGATATTTTTCATTATAAACGCGTTCAGATGTAGAAGTTTCATTATAAACGAGTTCAGATGTAGAAGTTTCATTATAAACGCGTTCAGATGTAGAAGACATTTTAATGTAGAATTATACGCACCAGCCGTGACATTTATTAATTGCTCGAAATTTGGAGTAACCATGAGGTAATCAAACAGTAACATGAAGAATTTCCTTTTTCTGCGATACATATATGTACCCATTATGCAGGTTTTAAAAATTTATTACAGAGAATGTGAACCGAGTTCACAACGTCACGTGATTACCGCAGTAAATATTTATTTTGCAACACCAATTTCACTAAACACGGTTAAAGAGTACTAAATATTTTGGATATTTAAAGAATAACACCAATCTGGATAGTTATCAACCCAATGAATGGTAACATCTTTTGAGGCAGTATTGTGTAGCCCAGCAAATGTCTAAAAGGCGAGGACAAATGGGTAAAAAAATTTTTAGAGTATGAAAGAAATGATAAACACGTTTAATAAATACCTTTTCGAAAGAACAGTCTTTGAAAGGACGATCAAATGGATAGCCCATTGGACGAACATCAGGATATTTGTCCTGTGGTCTTTCTGCACCGCAGAAACTCAAGCTACCACATCTAGTAACTTGAGGAACTTTATCTTTCTCCCAATCGCTAATAAATACAAATAATTTAAACTTCATGCCATTACGCGAACCACGAGGTAATACCAAATGGAATGGCCATCCGCAGTCACAATATTATTCTTCGTCAGTTCTTCGTCAGATTCTTTATCCTTTGTTCCGGCCGTAATTGCTGTATCGTCTAATTCATATACAGTTTTTTGTGGGTTGTCTCACTACTGACGAACGATCACAATCACGTGCAACAACGGTTCTGCAATTCTCTTGTTTAAACTTGTCGATTTCGATCCATTCGTTAAAACTGTTACATAAGTCGATGGGAACAACGAAGACACGGAAAGTAACCGTGATGTTCTAAAGATGACAAGTATAGGAATATATTTAATTACAAAATGATACGATCTATTTAATTAGATTTTGTTATAGTAAATAATTACCCTGTTAGAAGTGTTCTCAATACGGAAGAAATAATACCTGTGTGAAAAAAAAAAAGATTATTCTTAATATATTAAAAGTTTCAAAATAAAAAGGTTATACCATTCTCTTGGGAAAAGGTATTCAATTATTTGAGTTGATTGATCATCTTCAAGCCAAACATGTTTTCTTTGTTTCATCTTAGTTTCTAATACATCAGTAGAATGATGACCATGTTCTTTATGGAAATTATGTCCACCAAAGGTTTGTTCTCCCCATTTAGTTGCTTCAATATCTTGTTGATGAGCCATTATGTTCGTTAAACTAGTAATGTTAAAATTGAAGGAATTCTCGACCCATTTTATGTAAATTCGAAGTGTTTTAAATCATAAAGTTTGGCGTTCTTCCACAACCCAATGAGTTTTTTAAACACTGAAAACAGTAAAATTCAATGTTTAATTCTCACAGTGTGACTGATTTCAAAGATGGGCAAAATTTGATTGATAATTATCATTAACAAACCAAAGAACTTATGTATTTATGTACACATAACAAAGAACCATTCCATTTTACTAAATACACAACGCTAATTATCTATATATATATTTTTATTTATAGCCAAATGAGAAAATTTCGCCAGCGAAATAACGCTTAAAAAGTTTAACATGTGAAAAAAAATTTAATATTCTCACTTAAATTTTAAAATCGTGCATAAGCCTGAAAGATCTATAGGTATAAGTGTAGTAATTATGCATATTGGCTGTTTGGTATTCAAAATCAACCTAGATTTGGCGTTATTTTGAATTAGGCGACTATTGGGTAAATACACTACGTACGTAGTTGAATTATTTATTTTAACGCTGGTCGACAATTAATGAAATTTCTATTTACTCATCTTAAATAGAAATTAAAACTTTCTTGACCATTAAGATTACGATCCAATCGCTAGCTCTAAAAATGGTATATAGTTTAATTTTCACCAAAACTCTTTGGTACAATGCGAAAATTTAGTTGACATTACATTTGTTTCACCATACGTAATCATAATTTTTTTAATCCATATCTAGAAATTATTAGTTGATTTTCCTTTTCTTAGCAAATTGAGAACAATGTTATGCATTTTCGATGTTCGTGGCCTTTTGTCTTATTCATGTCAATACGTACTCCATGTTCACGAGTGTCTATGTATACTAATTTGTATCTAATATACAGTAATTAAATTTTTTTTACGTACGTATTAGAAGAAGTATATCGATATATTTATTATAATATTAATAAATGTATTAAAGTCATATGTCATCTGACCACATCAGAAAGTTATTTCTATATAGATTTATGTAGAATTTTTATGTAAATTATAATTAAAAATTATACATAAATTTACAAACAAAATGTAGACTTACATGACCATAAGTTTTATATAAATAAATATATATATACACTTATATAAAAATTTTAATAGCATTTAATTAAACTTTTGAAAAATCAATAAAATATAAAATATAAATAAAATTTAAATAGTAATTATCTTAAACATATTAAAATTTTATTTATTTTTTATATAATCTTAAATTTTATATAAAATTTATTTAATTATTATACAGATTTTAAATAAATTATCAATAAAAATTTAATAAAAGCTAATAAATTTTAAATTCATATATAATATTACATTGCTCTAAACAAAGCATAAATAAATGATTACATGTTAAAGCAATAATTATATTCTCTAAAAATATAGTATCAATTAAATCAACCAATATTATAATTATACAATTAACTTTTTTGCTAAAAGACAGCTTCAAGAACTTGAGCTATAATATATAGTAAATAATATCTATTTAATATCAAATGTACTTGAACCTTTTTGATATTTTTTATAATCACTATCATTATTGTTATACTGTTGTAAATTATTGAATAAAATTGATTACACAAAAAAAATTACATAAATTATTAATAAAAATTAAGAATATTGAGCATGGCAATATATTATAACAATGCTATATTTAATACTCCAAATACAAATATATATATTACCAAAAAATATTACAATTTTCATATTAAATATTTTTCATCAAATTTAATTTTAATGATTTTAGGATCAAACAGATTATGTAAGACTGTATATGTAACAGCATATTGATTTTTCATAGGATTCTGTCCAAACATCTTTTTGGCAACTAACTAAAGATATATCTTATCTTTTTCTTCAATCATCATATTCAAGTTTTTAAGATACCATTATATTTTATTACTTAACTTCCAGGAAGTTATTTCAGTTTTAGAGTTTTCAGATTTAACAGCTAATAAAATTTTCTTCTTAAAAATATGTTTAAATACAGAATGATAAAATGTTCCAAATAATATATTATGATACTTACAAAACTTAGTACTAATCTATATTCAAAATAAATAATAATAAAGAATTAAAAATAAAAAAAGCTATTTATTAAATTATATTACTTACAGACTTTTCAATTTTATTAAACAAAGTTTTTTATTTGGTAACTTTTTTGTATTATTTTATTTTATTTGAACAAAAAGCTTTAAGCTCTTTTCAAATAGTTTGTTTATAAATTTGATTATTAGAATAAAGTTAATTATCAACAGTGACTTTGATCTCTTGCATTGCTCCTTTCTATAAATAAGATTAAAAAATTTTAATAAAATATTAAATAATTAACAGAATTCTAAACAGCTATATTAATATTGATCAAAATCTTAATAATTAATTTATTACCACTTATTGTTTATAATATAAAAATTATACAACATATTTAATTAATTTTATTTTAATATTAATATAACTTATTAAAATACTATTGTTTCAACTAATAATTATACTAACTTAATATAATTTAATATTAAATATTAGAAACTAATAGCATAAAACCAATTTCTATTTAGTAATTATTAATAAACAAATATATCTGCCACTATTTGTATTTTTTTTCTGTTGTCTTTAACTTAAATCTTTCATATAATAATTATAAAGTCTTGACATTATTTATAAGTTGAGTAAGCATGGTTTCTAATACTTCCTGCTTTTTTATAATTGAAATATTCTGCTCTAATGTTTTTTTGGTTATTTCTAATAATGAATTAACTGATTGACTTTTTTTGTCTAAGATTAATTAGTTTTAATAATAAGTATTTGATTATAAAATAAAATAAGTGTTGGCAAAAAAAAATATATATACTTAAATATAGTCTACATATAAATGTATATGTTTACTTTGTTGACATTTAAATATAATAATAATTTTGAAGCTTATCATGTTCTGCATTAATAAAAGGATTTTCTAATATATTTGTAAAAATTTTACTAAATAGGGATCTTGATAAGATTTTATTAAGAATCTTAATAAAACTTCATTAAGAGAGAATCTTAACAAGCTTTTAGCAATTTATTTTGAATATTATTATTGATATCAATAATATTATTAATGATATTGTTTTTGTTTATAAATAGTATTTTGTTTATGCTTTTGAAGATTAACTAATAGGATCTTTGAAATTTCACTGTGATTTATAATAGAGAATGAAAATCTCAATGAGCTTTTAGAAACTTCATTCTGAATATCATTGTTAAGATCAATATTATTATTATTAATGTTGTGTTTTTTTGTAGACAATATTTTGTTTATATTTTTAAAGAATTAACTAATAGGATCTTTAGCATATTGTTGTCACTTTATAGTAGAAATTTATGAATTAGATTTTAGTGCTTCTAATGGCTATAAAAAGAAGAAAAAAAAACTTATCAAATTTTTAACATATTTATAAAAACTTAAATTTATTAATTTACTGAATTAAATTTATTACTTTTATGCCAAGTCTTTATTTTTGGCTTCTAATATACATAATGTAGAAGACTCTTAAAAAATAGCAATCACTATTATTTATATTAAATTAAATTTATAATAGATGCAAAATACATATTGTGTAATATATAAAAATAATACAATGGGTTTATAATACATTCAATTTTTAAAAAAATATATTTAATTACATTATCATTCACAATTACTTTTATTTATATATTACTTTTTATAATTTCATTTTAATCACACATTATTTGGTAATTTAAAGTCACATAAAAGCATTTTTGGTTAAGTAAAGAGTAATACTACAAAGTATTATTTTTAATTATCATAAAGTATGTACATATAAAAAAACTTTTTTTACTTTTTTAGAAATATTAAGGCTTGAATTTTTAGTAAGGATTTAATAAATTACAAGACTTTGATTTGTTCTTTTAAATAATGAACAATAAGTAAGTACAATAAATAAAAGAATTTTATCTATGAATATTGAGACAAAAGTAAAGATATAAAAATAATCAATAACTTTAAAGTTATCTATATAAATAATAAGACTTTGTATAATATACATAATTATTTTATTAATTCAATCTTATAATTTACTAAAATACTGTATATTCAATCATTATTTATTACTAGTTATAATTTAAACTGTATAACATATTTAAATATTTTATTAATTATTTGAATTTATATGTAATAACCTAGAATATTCTGTTTTAATTATTGGTTCAAAAAAAGAAAACAATGTATTAATTAAAATAATAAATTAAAGATATGATGCATAAGATAAAATGATGTAATTCAATTTAAAAATAGTATATAAAAGCAAAAAAAAATTTAATAAGTTCTTAAAATAAAACAAAAAAAATAAAAGTTAACTTTAAGATACTTATAATTAGACTAAATTAAATTACAACAAGCTACTGTCTTATTAATATTATTAAAATAATAATTTTGATACATAATTTGAATATTTATATTTTAATGTTTATAACTTAATTTAAATTATTTTTTTAGCCATCATCAATGTTTAGTTGTCATATGTATAAAAAAAAATTTGATCAATTAACAAGTCTTAAAAACTACTAAAAAGTTTATAAAAACTGTCAAGCTGAAGACAATACTAATACCAATATAGATGAGAAAATTGAAGCTATTATTAATAACAGTATAAATGAAAAAGCTGAAGATGTTACTGATACTAATATGAATATTCGCAAGAATATTTATAGTCTTAATAAATTAGAGACAATAGGTAGAGTTAATTATTAAATATTCAATAACTAAGACTTTATCAATGAAGCAAGTATGATATTTACATTTAAAATATTCTTAATAATCAAAATATTCTTGACCAAAATATTACTTATAAAACAGGTCAAATATTTGAAAAGAGTATACTAAAAAATAGTAATAATACTGTTAATAAATTCTAGAGTAATAATAGTTATTATAGTAATGCTAATAAGACAATAGTTTAG